TGAAAAACAAACATGTTTTAACCAAAACCAGACACAGACCTGCAGTTTCTGTTAAAGTTTCATAAGTTTTATGTAGAAAAAAACTGATTTGGAAAAATTTAGATTTGTCTGATTTTGCTATTTTTTTTATTACTTATATGAATTATTGTCATTTGGGCCCTTAAAATACCAAAATTTCCACTTAACTTTATATTTTGGTCAATCTGATGATGTAATTTCTAAATATTAAATGACAATTTGATCAATTACTCAGTACTTCTTACCAAATATTTTTTACTCTTACTTGAGTGATTTCTTGGACGTCTACTTTTACTTTTAATTGAGTAAAAACATGTTGAGGTATTTCTCCTGTTGCCTGAGTGTAATTTTTGGGTCCCCACCTCTCTGAAAAACGTCCCTCCTGTCTTCGCAGCGTGTAACTGCAACCTCCATGCTCGCCGCTGCCGCTTCAACATGGAGCTGTACAAGCTGTCGGGAAGGAAGAGCGGCGGCGTCTGCATGAACTGCCGCCACAACACGGCCGGACGCCACTGCCACTACTGCAAGGAGGGGTTCTACCGGGACATGGCTCGGCCCATCAGCCACCGGCGCGCCTGCAAAGGTAAGAAACTGCTTTCATGACCCATTGATGACGGCTTACACTGCAAAAACACAAAATCCTACCAAGTATTTTGGGTCCAGTCTTAGTACACTTGAAAAAAGAAAAAAACTTAACTTACATGTAACTGTTCAGCAAAATACAGAAGCTTGTTTCAAGTCAGTAATTTCTTAATATTGATTAAAAAACAATTAGATACACTGGCAGATTATTTCACTTATAACAGGATATTTTTCCCATGTTTGAGTTACACATGTAATTTCTTAAATTATTGACTTTAATTGTTTATTAAGTCAATAATTTTTAATTAAGTCAATAGTTTAAAAAAGTGACTTAAAAGGTCCTACATTTTGCCTCTAAGTTAATTTTATATTATTTGAAATATAAGATATTTGTACTTGAAACTAGACCAAAACACTTGGTAAGACTTTTACAGTGTGGAGCTTTTTAGTTGTTTAATTATCTTCACTTATATTAAAAGTACATAATGCAGCCACCATTTAAAAAAATAAATGAAATGCGGACCAATGATATTAATGCACCCTGTGAGGTGCAAGCAGCCGACTTCATTCAGAACGTCTTCCAGCTCCAGAACCATCAGAACAGAACAGAACATCGGACCCGGCTGAAGTTACTGCTGGAAACAATGTGCAAACCTCTCATCTGCATTTGATGGTTGTTACTCATCTGCAGCACGACGGAAATGATGGTGGAGCTGCAGCAGCCAAAAGAACGCAGACTGAGGAAACAGACGTGTACGTTTGCTGCTGATGAGCGACGTGAAGAGAACGTTTTCCGTCTTTATCCAGTGTCAGTCAGTCATTTTTAAAGTAGCCATGTTGTCGTTCATGTTCCCTTTAAGCTAACTTTGATGTTTCACTGTAAGTGAAGCTGTAAAACAGAAACAGCCAAACGAGACGTCCTAACTCTGTTAATACTCGTAATAATCATGTCAGCTCTGAAGAACTTTAAGAGGAGCAAGACGCTACAGAGTAATGGAAAACATATGCAGCCATGGCAACTTTCAATAAAAAATAACAGCATGTCTGATTTGGCATACTGTTGCACTTAGAATTAAATTGATACTATGCCTAAAGCTTCGCTGGCTTCCCCATCAAATGCTCCCCCATAACCCCACACACCACATAATAGTATCTTTTCACCGCAGCATCTCATGGAAAAAATGCATTTTACTAGTTCACATTTGCAGTGAATATGTTTTTCAGCCAGATATTAGGCTGGAGGCTTTGCAAAAATAACACCAGCTTCCTGAACTTGATACTCTGCAAAATGTTTGAATAAACAGCAAAGAAGAAGAAGAAGAAGAAGAAGAAGAAGAAGAGTTTTTCACCCTGCTGGTCCTTATCAAGGTGAAAAAACGCCTGCAGAAGAAGACATCATTAGAGATGATGGGGTCTACACTGCAAAAAACACAAAGTCTAACTTTGGATGTAAATATCTTAGTACATTTGAAATAAGGAGAAAGTGGCTTATAAGGAACATATCGGAGCTAAAAACAAGTCCTAGTTCCACTGCACTGCAAAAACACAAAATCTGACCAAGTATTTTTGATCTAGTTTCCAGTACAAATATTTCAGTTCACTTGAAATAAAACAAAACCAACTTATACGTAACTTTTCAGCAAGATGTAGGAGCTTGTTTTAGGTAAATAATTCTTGAATATTGATGGAAAGGTTCTGGTTCCACTGGCAAAATATTTCACTTATAACATGGGAAAAATGTCTTGTTGCAAATGAAATAATCAACTAGAATATTAAGGAACTGTTGATTCTAAACAAGCTGCTTTTAAGTTAACTTGGTCTTTTTTCAAGTGTACTAATAAATTTGCAATAGAAAATGTAGAAAATACTTGGCAGATTTAGTTTTTCCCACTGGATGTTACTGCTGGCGGAAAACAGGAAGACGTCAACAGGAAGTAGTTAGGAAGATGCTGCCATCGTGTGATTTTAATGGTTTTTTTATTTAATGTGTTTCTCGTCATTAGCAACAAAGTGGAAACGCAGCTTCAGCCTGCAGATGTCTGTTTTCACCAGCATAAAGCTGGTGACCGGTTAATCTGGAGCCGTTTTTCTTAATGGCTCCAGATCTGACAGAAATGTAAGTTGGAGTATCTCTAAAGGGTCCGACTGTCCGTCTGACTCAGGGGCTGATCAGAACCACGGCCTTCAAGGAGCGCTCATTTGCGTCAGCCCTCCTTTTCATCTGCAGCTCAACAGATGTTTCATAACACCGGCGGCTCCAACACTTCTGGCTTTTTCATGCCCTGACTCACCACAAACCTTTAACACCTTTGTCTTTTCCCACTGAATCCCTGGTTTTATTCTCCGACTCTCACTCCTGTCTGTGCTTTATGTCATGATTAAAGTCGGAGGTATGGCTGAAGTGTCAGAACTGGAAGAGGACAATAAAACGCAGGTGTCTTCTGTGGGAAAGAAAAGAGACGGACTGGTCTGTTTCTGTTTCTGATTAGAATAGAGAGCTGAGACGGGAGTTCGCTCTGCTAAGATCTCAAAGGGCACCAATTATGCAAAATTCATATTTTGCATGTTTTTGTACTTCCATTCGGGCCTCAACTGCTTCTAGAAACAACCGAAAAGATCACCCACACTGCAAAAAATACAAATTTACCAAGTAGTTTCTGCATACATGCAAATAAGAAGAAAGATAAAACTGACAACTTATCAGCTAGTTATGGAGCCATTACAGCGTGACGTCAAGCGCTTCAAATCCGGCCTCCATCTCCCTGCTGGAGGGCAAAAAGCTGCTAGCTAACAATAGCTAGCATTAGTTTTAGCTGTTAAGTCATCAATATGATGTGCTAAATCTTAAATGTACACCTGATGTATAAAAATTAGTGTACATTACAACAACTACATAACAAGGTCAGTAAAAAGTTTTAATTAAGAAAAAAAGTAGCAAGTTATGCTAGCTTGACTATGAGAACCGTAACATGTAGATGTGATGTGGAGTTCTGTGGTTTGGTTCAGTAAAGAAAAAGAAAAATAACACGACCCAAACAGCAACTCTGACAGATCATCGCTAAGCTGTGTTAGCTTAGCTGATAGCAGCGCAGCTAATCTGCCACAACGGACACTTATTAATAATCACAAAGTAAACATCAAGCCTGAAAACATAAAACTGTAACGGACTGAATGTTCTGTTCTCTGAAATGTTTGAGTGTTTTTGTCTGTTGAATCCTGAAACATAAAGTGGCGTTTATGTTGCTATGGCAACGAGTCTGCGTGTAGCGTAGCCGACACAGACAGCGAGAAAAAAGTGGTTTTGAGTCAATATGCTAATAAATTGATATTAGCGAATGAGAAACGACTTAATGACTCAAATTGTTACCAGAAAATATGGATGAATAAATAATGAGGAAAAAATGGCCGAAACTTCAGTCACATTTTTGGAATATTAGAGCAATTTAAGATCATCAATGAGACACGTCTAGGAAGACGGATGTATTTTTCTGTAACTGTATATTTTCATTAAAAAAAGAAAAAAGCAGAATTCAAATTTAGATGAAAGGATAAAATAAAATAAGATCAATTTTACCTATTTAGGTCACAGTCAGCATCACATTAGTTCTGAATCATCTTCAAGTGAAATAAGATATTTGAACTAGAAACAAAAAAAATGTGATTTTGTGTTTTTGCAGTGCAGCCATCAGTAGTTTAAAGTTTTCCCATTTAGCATCTTAAAAATATAAAACAGCGACATGGAGAGAAAACCGTCCATGCCACCAGACTGGCAATATTTCAGATATTTATATTTAATCTGTTATTATCAATATTAACTGATGTAAAAAGCTGATATCAGCATTAATCTGCTGAAACAAAACAAACGGCGGTTGAGTCGGTGCCTCCTGTCACGTCTGCTTGAAAAGCCATCTGAGTTTGTTTTTCAGCTCTGTAACTGGTTCAGACTCATAAAAACCAGAGAAAAGGAACCAGCCGCCGTCCCACCCAGACCCAAACGCATCAGGCCGTTTGCAGAACAACGCAGACGTTGACGGTAAACTGTGACGTCTTCTTCAAAAGGCAGGAGTGTGTGTGCATAACACTCATCGTGTTTACGGTTGATGCTCCGGCGCTGATCGCCGTGGAAACAATGGCCTGTCAGTGCTTTGCTGCGAGTCTCAGCAGGCAGGAGAGACCAGCATCTTCCGGATCGAGTAACCCGGGCTTGTCCCCGGCTTTGGAAACATCGTTTCATAGATGAGTAAACATGCAGCCGAATTGTTTGTGATCAGAACGACTTGACTGCGTTTTAATGACCCTGCAGCAGCTGCCACTGACAAATCATCGACTTTAAATGCCTGAAACCTCCACCGCAGGTTTTCAGGCGGATATGTTGGGATTGATATGCATTTAAACTGGTTTCTGGGTGTTGTGGCTGCGCAGCACTGTAAAAACACAACATATTACCCAGTATTTCTGGTCTAGTTTAGAGCAAATATCTCACTTCACTTGAAATAAGACAAAACTAACTGACAACTAAATTTTTAGCAAGATATCCAGGCTTGTTTTAAGTCAACAATTCCTTAAAATTGATTTTAAAAAGTTGAAGTTCTATTGGCAAATTATTTCACTAATAAGATGTCTATAGATTTGCTTCAAAAAACCAGATCACAAACACACATCTACTGGTTTCCTTCCCTTGCAGGACAGATCAGTGTCACTCAGAGTCCTGTGTAGACGTTTAAATTCAATCATCTGCTGGTGGAACTTTTGCTGTTTGTCCATTTTAAGAAATTATTGACTTAAAACAAAATATAGCTTGCAGAAAGTTCCTTGCAAGTTAACTTTGTCTTATTTAAAGACAAAGTATTAAG